GTGTATTTTAATAATGAGTGTGGTATATAATGTTATGTGTCAACATGTCTGGACCTGATTTTGAGTGACTGGGCAGCTAGATGTAGTTATTTCCCATCCTGAGACTGATAATCAACTCCATGGTGGAATCTACTGTAACAGCTGAGTGGCTGAGTTAGGGATGTGGTCTGCTTCCAGTACATAGGAAGCTTTAGGAATGGTCTGTAGCTTTTAACACACTTGAGTCCTGCATGTAGCTGAGTCGTTGTTCAGCAGGCTACCATGATGTCTGCCAATCTTGAGATTCTTAATGGACTTGAATCAATGGCCTTCTGTGTGGTTTGGTAATATCAGAACTGTGCCTTTTTACTTGTTGACCTTGGGTATGTCAGCCTCAGCAGCCATCAGCTGCCTGAGTGAAGAAGTCCTTCAGCTTCCGTGGACTGGCAGCAAGAGGCATAGCTAAAGCTCAAGGTTAAGGGGTTTTCATCCAGGCCCTAGAGTCTGGCACTGTGAACTCAGACTTCTAGCCTCCAAAACTGAGAAAGTAAACTCCTGTTTGTCAAAGCCATCCCATTTGTGGTGTATTCCTGTCAGAGATGCACAAGGTAACAACAACAGAATATGGCACCAAGAGAGTGGGGTGCTGGTTTGACAGATACAGATACTTAACATGTGGAAACAGGAGTGAAGTGAGTCCTCGACCCAAGACACCAGGAGTGAGACAACAGCCACAGAGCCAATAGACGGATTAGACAGCAACAGGATTTCCAGCCCATGGAGGAGAAAGCTAGATGCCACTGGATAGTTAGCTTCCTGGTGGAGTGGGTTGTCTTCAGGCATTAATGGGTAAAAGAGACTGGTGTAGAATGGAGTAGTAGGTTGGAGGGCACATGGAGCAAGAAGCTGAGTGCTTTGGGGGCAGAAAGATTCCTGGTGGAGTGGGTGGCCTTCAGCATTTATCTGTAGATGTGGAGAGACCAAGAAAATGGGAAAGAGCTGCCTCAGCCTTAACGGGTAGGACCATGGCTTTTGGGGGTGGAACCACCATGCCCCCCTAGGTTTCAATGAATCAGACCTTCACCAGCTTGGTTCTGGAGTATGAAGCTGCTTGTTCATGTGGCCAGTGGGATGTGGCCATAGCTGCTGTCCAAAAGTGAGGAGGCTTGGCTGCCATGCCCAAGAGGTAGAGGAATGGGGCATTCCAGGACAGGGCGGTAAGGTCACCCCTGAGATGAACTAGGGAACTGGAGCCAGCCAGTGAAGGAAATCTGTAGGGGAGCCAGGTTGATGAGGGGTGGAGTTGTGGTAGTTAAGGTTATGTGTCACCTTGGCTGGGCCTGGTTTTGAGTGGCTGGACAGCTGGATGTAGTATTCCCAATGATGAGACTGGTAATAAACTCCATGGTGGAATCTACTGTGAGCAGCTTAGTGTGTGCCATTAGGGTGTGGTCTGTTCCCACTATATAAGGAGAAGCTATAGGAATGATATGTAGCTTTTTGCAAGCTTGAATCCTGTATGTAGCTGAGTTGTTGTTCAGCTGCCTGTCAGGTTATCTGGCAATCTGAGGACTCTTAATGGACTTGAATCAATGGTCTGCCATGTGATTTGCTAATATGAGGATTGTGCCTTTTTACTTACCAACCTTGGGTTTGTAGGTCTCAGCAGCTAGCATCTGCCTGAGGGAAGAAGGCCTTTAGCTTCAGTGGGCCGGGGGCAAGAGGCAGAGCTGAAGCCCAAGGTCGAGGGCTTTCACCCAACCGCTGGAGCCAGGCACATTGAATGTGGACATCTCCACTGCAAAACTGTGAGAAAAATAAAGTCCTGTTTGTGAAAGTCATCCCATTTTTGGTATTTTCTGTTGGAGCAGCACAAGATAACCACAACAGTGAGTAACAGCAATAGTCAGTGTGTACATAAACCTCAGTACTCTGGTCACACAGTCGTTAACACACCTGGCTGTCTACTCTGGTAAAGATTTACAGCCTTGGGAACTTAAGAGGCAGTTCTACCCTGTTTGATAGGGTCATTAACATTCAGAATTGATCCCATAGCTGTGGGTATTGGTTTCGGCATATACCCCAGTTCACTCCTTTATTCATCTTTCATGAGTGGGCATTGTTTCCATTTTCTATATTTTTAAAGGCAACCTTCCACCCCACTTGGAGATGTTGTTGTGGCTGTTGTTGTTGTTGTCAGGTGCCCTGGAGTCAAATCCAGCTCCTAGTGACCTTATGTCCAACAGAACAAAACACTCCTCCGTCCCCTACCAGCCCCATGATCCTTGCTATTTGGAGCCCATCCTTGCAGCCACTGTGTCAGTCCACCTTGTTGAGGGCCTTCCCCTTTGTCGTTGATCTTCCACTTTGTTGTTGGTGTTGTTAGGTGTCATCGAGTCAACCCACAGATACCTTACATACAACAGAACGAACATGGCCCTGCCCCGTGCCAGCCTCACAGTTCCTCCTCCACCTGAACCCACAGTTGCTGCTACTGTGTCAATCCGTCTCACTGAGGGCCTTCTCCTTTTACACTGACCCTCTGCTTTCCCAGGGATGATAGCCTTCTCCAGGTAATGGTCCTTTCTGTCAACATGAATGAAGTAGGTGACACTAAGTCTGGCCATTCTCACTTCCAAGGAACGTTCAGGCTGCACTTCTTCCAGGACAGATTTATTAGTTCTTTTAGCATTCCATGGTATTTTCAGTGTTCTTCACCAACACCACAACTCAAAAACATCAAATCTTCTTTGGTCTTCCTTATTCATTGTCCAGGTCTCACATGCATATGAGGTGATTGGAAATACCATGGCTTGGGTTATGTGCATGTTAGTCTACAAGAAGACATCTTTACTCTTCAGCAC